CCCCTCCTTCTTTTCTCCTCCCCACGGGCGCCCCCGCGCCCCGCAACTTTGTTTACCTCTGCGCTCTACACTACACACAGGCTCGGAAGTACACTACACCGCTTCAGCAAACTTTTCCGCGTGAAATTCAAGAAAATCGGCGGATTAACTTTACGCCGCTTCACTTTTGTTGTCTCACTCACCCACACCCTCGGTCCGGCCGTCGGGGAGGGTCATGCTGGCAAAAAGTTGGACGTCAGAGCCGCCTCGGAGACTGACTAGGACGACCCGGAGGACCGTAGGCGCAGCAGCAGAACAGCCCCGCGACGTCGTCGCCGGAACATGGCGGGCCGGCGTTGCTGCCGAACCCCGAGCGGGTCAGATGGTGACACGGCCACCTGCAGGTGCAGTGCGGGCCGGGCGACGAGGCGGGCCCCGAGTGTGCCGCCCTGGCCTCTGCCCGGCGCGGCCCCGCTGCTCCTCGCAGGGCTCTGTTGACTCGGCGCCGTGCGATAAGTTAAGGAGCTCGGCTGCTGCTGAGCCTGCAGGCTGCTCCTGCTCTGCCGTGCCCAGGTGGGCCGTGGAGCACGCCCTGCCGCTGCCGCCCCGGCGGGCTGGGCGGGGCGGACGCCCTCAACAAGTGCCCCGGGCCGTAGGGCGGCCGTGCCCCGCGGACACGCGCTGCTGCTCCTGCACCATGGCGAGGTGCGCTGTGAGAGACGAGGCGAGGCGCGCAGTGCGAGTCGAGTCGAGTCGCGTCTAGCGGCGCGGTGGCGAGCGACCCCACCCCCCAGCGACCCGACCAGCCCGCTCTACCCGCCGCCCCCGACCCGACAAGTGTCCCGCGCGGCTGCTGGCGCCGAACTGAACTGAACCGCAGCGCGCCGGGGCCCCCAACAGGGCAGAGTCAGTGCGCTCTCAGACGCTGGCGGCGCAGGGCGCAGCTCCCAACGCCGCCGCTGCTTGTGGTCCAGCAGACTCGAGCGTTAGCGCTTAGTTGATGGGATTCTGAGACGTCTCACTCAGGAACAATGCCATGACAGATAGTTGAAGTTGAGGGGGGACGGGACAACAACAAAAAACTAGTGCACGCGTACTTTAAGTAGATGGTTGATAATTTAATTTCTGTTAGCAAACACTACATTACTTCAATGAATTACATAACATAGATGTTGATATGACGTACAATAATTGTAAATCAAACAATGGATGCTTTCTTAAAGTATAAAACAGGTCAGTATCATCAATGCTAACAGCATTCGGGCCGAGACGACACTTTCAAACATTGAAATGATTCTCCTGATAAATGTAGCTAAAACATGACCAGCCAGCAGACATCAAGCACACCCCGTCCTGCAGGGGTGCAGCGTGCTGACTGCTGGAAAGCTATGCCTCAAAATGCAATTCTGGACACCACATTTCAGCAGACAACTAACTACATTTAGGAATGTACTCCTACATAAGTGTCACCTCAGCCAATATGCTAAAATGAGAGGTTCTACAGCTTCAGAATTACATATAATTGTTTAACCAGATAAATCTAAAATTCATACAAGTCTCGAGCAGAATGACCTAACAGCATAGTTTAGATAAACATGGTGCCCTACAATGCCTCACAGACGAGGAATAAAATAGTTGCACAGCTGAAAAGCTCTAGTCACAATAAAATATGTATGTACAAAAGGTATGTCTTGTGAGGATTGGTGTATCCACACAAAGTCTCACTGATGTCCAGAATCTCCAATCAATGCCTTTCTTGACCTACAACAATGAAATCAACGGATTCAATCCACTACTCTGAATTGCTTAAATCAAGGCATTGAATGTGGTAAAAGTCATTACCAGTTCAGGTACAATCTTTCATTTGTTGGTCCATTCAAGCTGGAAAAGTAAAACAAATTTGTATTTTAGCTACACAAAACTATGTCTCCCTTTACCTTACATTCAACTGAACCGTGAAAGTCATCAAATCATATAACTATAAAAGAGCAATTGAAATATTGGATAGTTCAGCAACTCAGCTAAAACACAAAATATTGTGTTTGTCAAACTTAAACAGGTCACATACCATGTACTGGTAATGAATGGACATACATGCTAAGATAAACTTCCATAGAAAGTAAAATCAAATAAATCCATACAGTAAAATTTTATAACAATTTAATCAGCTACAGTTTTACAAAAAGAATGTCATGGAGACTGAAATACATACATGCACATTATCATTATGGTGGACAGGGGAATAGGGAGGAAGGACTGCTGGTGTTAAGGGAAATGTTCTTATTTACCTGCAATGCCTGCAATGGCTTCAGATGCAAAGAACTTAACATCTACGTCTGTGTCACCATTCAACCTGTCAAGGACGGGCTTCACTTGCATAGAGATTGTACTGAAAATAAAAAGGTACATTAGGATTTTAATTGCAAAGAGAAAAACATAAATGGATATAGTAGCTTGATTTAACACTTACACAGGGTCAAGAATAGGTGAAATCTTCTGTAATGTTTTAGCCACATTAAACCGAACATTGGCTACTTTATCACCTGCCATGGCAGTGACAGTGGGTAACATTAGTTTAACTGTAACATCTTGTCCACAAGCTTCAGCTAGAACCTGTAAAATGAATGCCACCCCAAAAAATTTAGAAGTGTGAAAAACAAATGGGGTTAGTAAACAAAAATAATTTTACACACATTGATGCAGAAGAGACATGTCATGCGGTGCAAGTAGTTTTGGTCCCGAGACATAGCAAGCACTTTAGGAATGACAGTTTTTTGTGCCCACTCTGGGCCAAACTTCTCCACAAGCTTTTTGAGGTTTAAAGTAGCAGCTTCCCGAATGGCATATACTGTAACAGGGAATTAATTGTGGAATTAATGTCAACCAATTTGTGAGAATACCATTGATAATATAGCATAGAAACATACCATGATCTACCAGCCATGTCATGCACAAGGAATTCAATTTCTCATCAAAGAATTCAACACCCAATTGTCCCGCAAGAAGTGGCATGTATTCAATGATTGCAAGCCTAACTCTCCATTTTGAGTCCTCAGCAAGTTCTACAATTGCTGGTAGCAGGGATTGAGACAACTGTGAAAACAAATTTGCAAAGTAATAAGATAGGGAAATTAAATTAAAATTTCATAACTTTGAGAATAAAATTTACTCCACAGACAGAGAGATCCTTACCTGTTGGATTCCAATAACTTCATTGACACAATCTAAATTGGAAATGATGTTAAGTCGTACTTCCGGGCACTCATCCTTTAGCTGTGTGAGGAAGAGGGGAAGGAGGTGCTCAATTGTGCTGGAAAACAAAAAGTTCATATTACCAGGTTAACAAGTTTTTAAAAACTTCAGATAGAAAACAATACAATAAATCTTAGATGAATATTTGTATTAAGGAAACTCACTTGTGTTTGCCCAATATGGGACTCAACCCCATGATAACTGAGGCGAGTGCGCTTTTGACATGTGTGTTGGGGTCAGCCACGAGTTCCTTCACAACAGGCAAGATACTGTTCATGATGATATGTTCCCTTTGATAGGGATCAAGACTCTGGCAGAAGTCCTTGACTTTATGAGCAGCTGCTGCGCGAACTTCGGCTTCCGTATCTTTGAGAAGAGTTTGGAATGCTGGCACCAGGTCTTGTTTAGTGATATCAGTTCCAACAGCTTTCTGAAGCTACATAATTACAATAACAAAAAAGTTAGGTTTCAATAGGAACCAAAATAATAACAGCAAAGATAACTAGAATGTGGCTATTAAAACCATACCTCAGTAAATTTGTCAGCAACCATGTAACGAACTCTCCATGACTGATCTCCAGAACACTGTCTCAAGGTTGGCATGACAAGCTGTTCAACATCTTCTTGTTGTAAAATTGAAGCAATGCTAACACATGCTTCAACTGCCAAGAGTCGCACAGAGTCCTAAGAAAAATGGACAGAGTAAATAGAATAATAATATTGTACTTCAGTAAGAAAAACATTACCCTCAAAAGTCATCCTTACTTGTTCATCTTGAGCAAGGTTCACAAACATAGGAATCAAATCTGATTTCAGGAACTCTACTTCCACAACCTTGGCAAATTCACCAAGTTTGCTTGCAGCAGCTCGTCGTACCATAGGGGTATCATCTTGACATAAATTGCGGAAATGGGTACGGAGGTCAGCTGAAAAATTGATAACAAACAATGTAAGAAAATGGATTAAGTAAACCATTGACAAAGATAACAGATTTAATGATAAATCACCTTTGAAGGTAGGATTGACACGTGGATAGCAAACACTAAAGAGACCACACGCAGATGTGCGTGATGTAAACCAATCTCCAGAAGCCAGGCGTGTAACCAAGGGAACGAAGTGAGCTTCAAGATCACCAGGAGAATGCTGAGCTGAGATGGTGCGGAGAGATTCCACAGCCTTGTCACGCACCACAGTTTCCTCAACGGTTGCAAGAGACTCAAGTGGAGACTATTGAAAAACAAAAGTGTTTGTAGTGTACAATAAGAGAAGGCATTACTTAGCACAATTACGAAAACTTAAAACAGCACTCACCAAGAGGCAATGAACATGTTCAGGCCCGCCAACTAGGGGTGTAAATGAACCTAGCTGCTCAGCAAGGGCAAGCAAAACTTCATCCTCATCATAAATTGTGTCAGTCAAGAATGGAATGAGTTCAATCCGTGTTCGCTCCACACCCAGAGCCAAAGCAATGGTAGATAGTTTCTTGATGGAGTTGAGACGGAGCTAAATTAAAAGAAACAGACAAATTGTTAACAGATTTTTAGAATTAAAAGGAAGTTTGATATCTTATCAGTCTAGGATAGTATTATCTGTTGAGTCTATTATTTACACATACTCATATACGAAACAAACATTTGATGGGTAAGTTGTTTTCAGATTGCTCAACATGCAGAGATAGAGGAACTGAACTCTGTTCCCACCTTGATAGGGTATAATTGCAACTAAACTAATACCCACAAAAAAGAGAAAAAGACATGGAGTGTTCCTAACCTAGTTTGTCATATCTCTTACAACGAAATCATGAGGGCAACTGAACAAAAGAAGACAAAATATGCTCCATCGAGTCCTTGATGATAATCCTTGACTGAATATTTAATTTTACGTTAGCAGTTGTAAAATTATTAAAGAATCTTAACCTCAAGCCGAAAAATAGGCGGTGGTAGCCAAGGCCAGCACTCCTATCCGATAAACAACTACGAGATATCAGACGCTTTCACAACAAACCTGACTTCAAAACAAAACCTGGAAAAACACCACATGACAATAACGTACCTGAACATCTTCATTTTTGAGTTCATCAATCAAAACAGCGATGGGATAGAGCGATTCGTCCGTTGTGGTATCACTTGCAGCCATTTTGCGATCGCGGATCTAGCTTTCCAACCTTTTCAAGCTATGAAGCCGAGGAAGTCCCTTCGTTGCGCGGTCTAAGGGCCAATGGCCAAGGTGAGTAGATCCAGGAGATCAAATGATTGCACTCGTTGGCCCAATGAAATCAATGAAACACACACAAATCACTCCAGGTTTCAATTCATGACATTCTGACACCACTTTCAGTGACGAAGATAGCCGACGAGGTAAGCTCGCGAGCTCGACGGACAAACAAATGACTAATAGCAGCGCGCACGCGCAACAGACGCAAATTTCTTCGGTAGTGCCAACGGTAAAACGTGAACTGGATTTATTAACCGGTGAGTACAAATTAAGTCTGCTTGCAATTCATTTAAATTTAAAGAAAAAAAACGAGAGAGGCCATTGCTTCCTGAAAACGCGTAAAGTGCCAACTAAACCTGAATATTGCGTTGTTACGCTATATTTTATTCTGGAAGGTAGGTTTCCTACATTTAAAGTTCACAAAGCCGCGCTTGGTTTCAAGTATAGGACACTGGAATGAATGAACAGAAAAGTCTCCTGTCGTCTCAAGATAAAAAAACAAACAAAAAAACGATAGCAATTATTGAAAATTAACATTTATTGGGTACAACAAGTTAAAATATTTTAACATAACATAGTAACAGACAGTCATAAATCCTTTCTAAAGCTAAAATAAAATAAACATTGCAACAAGTTGAATTGTGACAGCAAAATTGTATTAAAGATGTCTAAGTAGACTGTTTTATTTCCTCTTGTAAAAACAAATCACTCTCTGAGGGGGGAAGCACAGCATTTTCAGTAAGTGAAGAAGTTTCATCACTTTTCCTCAAATCACTTGATTCTGAATCTTCAATATCATTTGCAGTTGATACGTTGAGTGGTTCTTCCTTTTGATCTGATGGACTGGCAAAATTTATATGAAGATTTTGAAGTTGAGGCAGTTCTACTTTAACTGGCAGTAGATGGCTTATTGAATCCAAAATAGTTGGACGATCCAAAAATGTGATGTACTGGTGGGAAAATTAGCAGCGTTAGTCTATGGTACAATGAAACATACAGTGTGAATAAAAAATGAAAAAGAGAGTCCCCATACTTCCTTCTGCAGGCGGTGTACATTTACTCCAAGATGTGTAGCAATAGTGGCAGGAGGAAATATAATGTGTAAGCACCTTTGAAGAAATGGCAAAAGATGATCAGCCATACATGAACAGAAGCGTGTGAAAGCCTCTTTTTCTGCAGGTGTTAGGGCTTGTTGTTCCTATAAACAAAACAAAAAGAAGGTAAAAATCTTTAAACACTGAAACAAAAACAAAAAATATTTAAGAATGAAGTTTTAATTTAAAAAGACTGAAGATTACCTGTCTGTAAAATGATAGCATACTTCTTGCAATAGAACAAAGAGACTCCTGAAGCAAATTTGTAGCTTTTGCTGCCAAGGCAACTGGAGCACAAAGTCGTATGTCATTCAAACACATGAGAATGGCATTGCAATAATCTGCCAAAGGTCTGAACTCCAGCAACGACTCTGGAGGGTGTTCCTAAATTTAAGCGTCAGTTAGTACAAGATGTAGTGTATCAACCATCTGAAATAGAAAGACAATATACAAACCTCATTTGTATGTTCCATGGATACAAAGGACCTAGCTATTGATGACTGGGTCTTTGGCAGAGTAAAATTTTCCATATCCTGCTCAAACTTTCTAGTAGCTTTAGCAATAGAAACCTCAACACTTTGCTGAAGTGCCTTTACAAATATGGGAGCCAAAAGGCCCCGAAAATCGGCACCTACACGGCTAAGAGACAACCCAAAGTACATGCACTGCCTAACAATGGAATCTAAAGAAGAGCCAATGCCAAGAGCTAAGTCTTGCTCAAGTGTAGAAAGAAACTGCATCACCTATTGGAAGGTTAATAGAATCCATATGATTACATGGTTGACGCACAACAGTTAGAGAAAAAAGAGGAATAGTTAAATAATAGAATAATTTCAAACCTTTTCCATGATCCATGAATAGAAAAGTGTATTAAAATTACTTGTATTGTGAGAAATGTCTGCTTCAGCATCTCCAAACACTGCTCTGTATTGTGTTATAATACTAAACAAGTGAACTCGAGACAGTTCCACAGTTCTGCTCAGATGTTGAAGAGCTGAAAAGAAATAATACATGCTTGTAAAATTAAATCAAACAGGTAAAACAAAAAGTATGTTAACATCCGACATTTAAAAACTTTACCATCTTCTTTAGGAATAGCGGCTAGCATTGCCTGCAACCATGAGTCACGACACTGCAGAAATTTAAGTCTAAGCTCAGCTTCAGAAAATAGCTCCATCCTCCTTAGAAATCCAACAATTTGGAGAACTGTAGGCAGTGGCAAGTCGGTTCGCAGTGTAGACAGCAATTGCTGCAGCATGGATAACCAAGCAGCCTCTACTTCTTGCACAACATTCTGAAAATCACATTCAATACAAGGTTTGTGAAAAGGCAATCTATTTGAAAGGAACTGATAAGATGTACATAAAATGCAACTTACAGCAATGATAGGTATGTTAATATGCTTCTTCCCCAGTCTTCGCACAAAGGCTGCAAGCTCTAGAGCATCTTCATAGTTGCCATTTCTAATGCATGTGTCCATGAGTTGAGGTAACTCCAAAATCTAAAAACAAAAGAAATAGAAAACGATAAAGGCTTACAGCTACAATTACTTGTACTTCTTACATGATTCTGAATAATAACTACCTCTAAAAGTTGAGCATTTCGAGTAAGAGTGAGAGAATTCAATCTGCGGTGAATATTTATGTCTGATGAGGATCTTACAAAGTCTTGACAGTTTTGTGAAAAATTTGGTAGACCAGCCAATAAAGATTCTAAACTTTTTTCTGACCTATTAAGCTGAAACAGAATTAAGAAAAATTCAAAGTTAACAGAGTTTCAGACAACATATTTTTAAAATGCAAAGAAAATACCTTTTCAAAAATGTCACGGGAGCACTCAGCAGTTTGAATAAATGTCTTGTAATTTGCAAAGGCAAGGTCCTGAGTTTGTGACAACACTGAGGCCTTGTCTTCAGTAAGTCGTTCAGGCTCTTTATCTGGAAATTGACATAGAATTGTGAAAAGAAGCGAATAATATGACAGAGTTATGATAGTTGTCATGAATGCGACATAAGTTGTCAACTCACTAAGCTGCTCCAAGCTCATAGATCCAAGTCTAGACACATACTGTAGAAAATCAGGATTATCCTTCCATTCATCTGTAAAATATTATCCAGTTAAAAATGATTACAACATACAATTAAAAAAGTTAAACCAAAAGAAATATAAAAGAGTGTTTACTAACCTTCAATGCCATTTGGAAATATTATATTGATAATGCCCTCAGCGTCAACATCCATTTTGGCGTACAGAAGCCTGCACACGTAGAAATTGCAAAGCCAAAACCAACAAAAAAACTACAGCAAGAAGATTGTTTTTATTTATTTCTAGGACAACGTAAACATAACCTACTTAACTTTGACAGTCGACACTACACTTGACCACAGCCTTGTACAAAGTGAAAACCGAGCTGCACGTGGCTCACTCTAGCGGAGCGGGTGTGACGATGTGCCGAAAGGTTTGCCTATCCCCCAGGCGGTGAGCGCGGCTTTTGGCTTCTGCTCCTT